TCAGCAGGAGATACTTATTTAAATGTCTTGCTACAGCACTGAGCATTTTTACTCAACGTTCACACTAAGAAGTTTAGAAAGGTCTCAAATGTATTCCTCCTTCCCTTCAGGCAAAAAAAAAAACAGAGGCAAAATTACCTCTGTGAACAATCATCCATTGCAGTTAATCATAAAAGCCTGTGTGAAACAGAAAAACCCCACTAGTAGGTTTTCCAAAGAATGACTTAGTTACTAAAAAGGTATCACAAAATATTCATCAGGCCACAGTTAGCCTCTCTGCTCTAGGCATTATATAAGCCTTTGCTCTAGCCTCATAAATGCATCACCTTCCTAAGAAGGGCACTAAGGAGCTGCAGGAAAAAGCAAGCTGTACAGCTCAGTTACTACAAACAAGAACTTGGTATACCATGTACAGTCACCTTTCTGTGAGATACACACACACAAGCCAGAACTGTCTGAGAAAACAGCATATTCTAGTGCCTTCCAGTAAACACCTAGCATGAAAGGCTGAAGACCAACAGCTGGTCAAATCTGAAAGCTGCTGCCTTTCATCAAGAGAGCAATGAAATGATTTCACCTGAACAGCCCCAAGCTGTCTAATGGAAAAGGAGGATTTCCCAGATGCTACCCTAAAGTGAAATGCAGGATTGAGTGAACAGCAGAACAACTTTCAAGTTTTGGGGATCTGAAGGGGAAGAGGGGAAGAAAAGATTTCCAGTTGGTACAGCAGGTGAGGTAGAAAAGGATAGCTTCTCCTCTTCCATGCATTTAATACAGGTTAGAAAGGAAGCAAAAGCAGCCTCTCAGATAATGAAAAGCAAAAACATGTGAGCAGTATCATTTGCCATAAGGAATAATAAAAATAAAAGAACTGATATGAACAATTGAGGGAGCAGAACTGCAGAGAATTAGAATGTTTCAGTTAACTAATCTGTTTCCAGATCTATACTACTGCAGTAACTAAAAATAATCATGGACTAAACAAGGAATATTGTGAGGTTTTCAAGACTAAGTCAAAAACAGGCCTGAGAAGGATGTTAGCCCAGTGCCTACGGGTGGGAAAGGACTCAAAAAACAGATCCAAACATCAGTGCAGCATTAAATGCTAGCATCTTTATTTTAAGTAATCCAGGTTCCCCTCCCTCCTTGCCATCTCTAAAATGTAAGTTTTGTAAAATTTACAGTCTTGAACCCATTTTAGAAAATATTTGCTCATGAATCTGTTAACATTGAAGACAGCTTTCCCTAACAATCATGTGAATGTGCGTACATCT